TTAAAAAAATATGCTATATTATAGTGACATACAGTAGTAAACTATAATTCATAAAAAGCGTTGTCATTGTAAAATTCATCTAAACTATAATAGGCTTTATCAATCAGAATGTCGCTTGATTTTTTCCTGAAAATATTCAAAGAATAACTCTTCAGGTATATGGGAATTTTGTTTTACATCTTTATTCCATTGTGTATCAATGAGTCCTTCACCATTGTTGTTGTGGGCAGGGGAAGTCTGATCAAGTTAGCTTCATGTGTATTATAGTGTGGCTCGTTTATATCATCACGAGCAGATATATTTTTATGAATGAGTAGTAGTTTATTATATATTTTTACCCAAGATACGCTGGCGATTTTTCAAATGCGGATGTTCTCAGAGTCATTGTTATTAAACTGGTAGCGTTTCTAGTGTGATATTGGTGTTCGTAATTGTTTTTCTTCAGCTCATTTTCATGTTTTTTATTATGCAAGCAAAATTTATATATGTAAATGCAGCAAACTGTCAAAATATTTTTACCCTTGAAAAATTCCTTGCAAGAATCCCTTGGCTTCATGTTGAACGTCAATCTAATAATTTGTTTTTGTGTAATGAATATCCTATTTAATTCGGTAGCATTTTCCCATAAGATGATGTCAAATGATAATGCAGAAGATTCTAATACATGGATAAGAACTTGGATAAGAATAGTCTCATTAAGTTCATACATTAATTGCAAAGTAGGATTTGGAAAATTTTTTTGATAAACTTTCAATATGCTCAGACCTTGAGAATGATTTATCAATCATTATACCTAAAAACTTAATGGAGTTATGTATATGAATAACTTCACAGTCGATCACATTGCTTTTATTGAAATATGCAATTTTTGTTTTCTGTGCATTCAGCATCAGTTTATTGTTATGACAATGTTTTGTCATTTCACTAATACCGAGTTCAATTGATAGAATTATATAATCATATCCTCCATAGATGATTCAGCTATATCAAATGTTGTGTCATCAGCAAAATTATTGAGATAAAAGCGCTTATCAACATTTATTGGAAGTTCATTGACAAATGGTAAAATCAATGGCCCCCAGATATGAACCTTGCGCTACTCCAACATCAGCTAAATATATCTGACTCAACACCATCTATTTGTTAGGAATGCAGTGATCAAGTCAAGAATATTTCCTCTAATACCAATATTATATAGTTTGTAAGCCAAAATCACTTTATCAATACAGTCAAAATCTTTTGACAGGTCAAAAAAATCCTGCCACGTGATAAATCTTGAATTTTGGTAAATACTTTAAAAGTTAATTTTGTGTTATCAGTGTGGCATAGATACTTCGTGATATAGTTCAAGTAAATGATATAGTGCAACAGCTCCCCTTTAATAATATTTTAATGAATCTGAAGCCGGCCCTGACCGTTATCTCAGACACCAAACATATGACTCACCGCGAAAAGAATGCGATCGACGAACCGCAACGACAATTTTAGATGAGTGCCGAAGAAACGACGAGATAGATCTGCAGTGATCGTTGCCGCTATATAAAGCCGGCCTCCCGACACCCTGAAGAGGCATAAGCCTATAGCAGGGCCCTACCTACACAAACACATACACACACAAAATTGTAACAACTGTAAATAATTTGTAAATATACGATATTCATTCATTCCCTAGAGGGAGTGAGTCAGTATCTAGAAAGTAAATCGTGCGTTTAAAGGAAGAATTCTAACCGTGAAGATAAATTAAGCGTTAGTTGCTAAGTGTTGTATATAAATTAGTTGTGTTGTTTTTTGAAAGCTTCTGATAATTCCTCTTCCATATTCTCTGTTTCACTATCAGTATCGTCATTTAAATCAATAATGAATTTATTTCCACCATTAATATGGAAGTGTCCAATCTCCATATAGTCTTTCAACTAAGATTACTTTTTTAATACTTTTCTGCCAGTCTTCTTCAGTAATATTAGACACTTCTTCTTTAATTAGCTCTATTACCATCTTATGAAATTTTGGAAAATAATTTTTACGCCAGATGCTTTGTTTCAATTTTCCCCAAATCAACTCGATGGGATTAAAAACACAAAAATAGGGGGGAAGTCTCAGTATGGTGTGCCCATATTTTTCAGCAATCCTCTCGAGGCCATACATTTTTTTAAATGTTTTTGTCTCTATCAAGTAGTTGGTTTTTTGTATAGTA